TTTTTTTTTTTTAAGCAAAGCAGTAGCCCTTCTGCCGTTTGGACAATTTGACACTGAACTCCAGGTTCCAGAAATGAGAACTGACCTACTAATTAAAGAAATGGCAGTTGGGTATTAGTCCTTGAAGAGAATACAGTTGTGGTAGTGCTGGGGAATTAATGGCAGTTCTAACCAAGACACAGCATTTAAATAGAAAATTGCTCCTTCCGTTGTTTCCAGCCTATCATCAAAGCAAGTGGGGTGTAATCATCTAAACAATTAGCCCCAATTTTCTTCCCCAAACCTGTTAACTCTTTTTAATTAGTTTAGGATGAAAACTGGCCCATTTTAGTGGATTACAAAAACAAAGAGATGCTTTTGTCCCTTAAAAAAAAACCCTTGCCTGCGACGGTCTGAGGTTTCCAACAGATAAAATATATGCCAAAGAATCAATTGAAATATTTCCAAGAATAGAAACGGCGACACAGTTTTAAAAAGGAGCAAGCTGAGTCAAGAAATTTTGCTATTTGATGGGAAGGAAGAACAGCAAATGAAGCTCCCTCACACACCATAGCCCAAGTCACAGAACATAGCACCTCCAGTCAGCCTGAAATATCCACAAATAGCTTTCCCCTTCCTAATAGTAAAAGCACACACAACAGCACATTAAATAACAATTTGTTGCCTTGGGGTGGGGTGGGGACCCTGCCTAAGTTAGGTGCCCTACTCTGTCTGACTATAGGGCCGCTCTTGAGGAAACCCCCTAGAGATAAAACATGAGAAATGCTCCATAACAGAGGGATGGAGAGGCATGTATAGTCAAAGTAGGTCATCTCTATTAAATAAGACAGAAAATATTCTGAAGGCAGCTCTGCCTCCACTCTGTTTTTTTTTATTATTATTATCCCACTAATGTTGCAGATATTTGCAACTTCTGCCAACCAAAATGACTTAAACTCTTTTATTCTTTTTTTTTTTAATGAATTATTCCTGCCTGGAGGTAGATTAATGAATGCATAATACTGAGACATGATGCATAGATAAAATGGCTTGGATTCCTAAGTACACTTTGATGACACCAGTCACACAAAAACAAAGGAGATCATTTCAATGTACTATAGATCTGATGCACTCTCCCTGGAGGATGCTCAGAGTCATAAAGCCATAGACAGATTACACATTCACATATGTATATTTTTCATCTTGATGGAAGGCAAGACAGAGGATCACTATTTTAATATTAAACTACTATCTAAAAGGAAGCAAGATGGAGTTTATGTTAGCTGGTAGGTGAATTAAAACAGGATTCATTTTAATTCAAATGCATTTGGAAAAGAAACCCTGGAGAATTAAATGGTTCACACACAATAAATAAAATGTACAAATACTTTCTTTTTAAGGATATATGAGAGTAGCTTTTGACAAGGTTGTCAAAAACCTAAAGATGTTTTTGCTGATTTTCAGTTGTGGGAGTTAACCTTGGCTATGGGGAGGCTCTCACTTTACAGTAATCATTATCACCCCCATAAGTTATTTTATTAGATGTAATAAATACAACCTTTGTAAGGTTGATGCATACAGTATTTTCAACATAAGCATATAGTACATGGTTCAGATCAATCCCATATGGCAAGCCTGGCTGTACCATTAAACAATTGCTACCGAATAGGAACTCAGTCAAATAAAAATCTATCATGTATAATAATCATTCCTATTCATGGTAAAGAGAGCCAGTTGGGTGTAGTGGTTAAGGCGCCAGGCCAGAAACTAGGAGACCAGGAGTTCTAGTCCTGCCCTAGGAAGGAGACGATAGCCAACCCTTCAAAAAACCTTGTCAAGAAAACTGCAGGCACTAGTCCAGGAAGTTGCCAAGAGTCAACACTGACTTGAAGACACCAAGATGATGATGATGATGATGATGATGATGATGATGATGATGATGATGATGATGATGATGTCGTCAAACTAGCGGTGCCCAAACCAAAGGACA